GATTTCCCAAAGGATACAGTTACAGTTATTATCTAAGAGAAGATGTTTTAGGAGGATATGTTACCTTTACTAAACCAAGTCGAAACTAGTTACTGTAAATTTCCAGCTCCTGTAGAGATGTCTAGTATATTACCAAGATAGCTCAGAAGCAATTTAGCTACATTTCCATGCAAGAACAAACGCTTTGATTTAGGTTTAATTAATCAATTAAGCTAAATTTTATTATTGTTAATTCGTTAAACTGTTATTTTTTGTTTCATTTTTAGGTTAATTTGTTAATTTTAATTAAATGTTTATAGTTTTCACTGTTATTTTGGTTAATTTATTAAGTAATTGTTAGTTTGATTTATGTTTAACCAATTAATTAGGTTAATTTTGATTAATTGGTTGATTATATTTTATTTATATTGAAAATTATTAGTTAAATTTAATTAGGTTTGAATTAGGGTTGATTTGATTTAGGTTTAAATTTAATTATGTTTGAATTAGAATTAATTGGGTTAATTTGATTTAGGTTTAACTAATTAATTAGGTTAAATTTGATTAATTGGTTGATTTTAATTTTATTTATATTAGAAATTGTTAATTAATTATATATTAAATTTAATTAGATTTAAATTAATTATGTTTAAATTAGAATTATTTGCTTATATTTCATTTATTAATTTTGAGGTCGCTACCTAGTATTAAAAGAACTAAAAACCTAAAATTAACATTGGTCAATGATGGGTAGTGGAAGTGGCAATTGCAACTTCAATGAAGTTGTCTACCTATAGAAAGAGAAAAACCAAACAGCCCCTAAGACCAAACCCACAGCTCGCCAGTCAACCCCTAGAACTAATATCATTTCTCCTTCGAAATCGCCACTCTCCAATGCTAATCACCCCCGATAACCATACCATTTTATAGCTCGACCTCAAATCCACCTTACTCAAGTGATTTCCATGATTGAAAATGACGAAGGAAGCCGAGATCTAAAATGAAATTCACTCCATTCGACCCGCGACCATACCAAGTTTTATCTCCATTTTTTTTGGCTAAATCAAAGGCAAACACCGCCACAAAAACCTTCCTTTAGCCTCCAAAAGCATCTCTAAGCTCGAAATTGTGGAAGAAGACGTTGAAAATTGACAAATTTAGCCGAGAAAATAAAGTTTGACCTACAACCTACACCCATTTTTCTTCTCCATTTTTCAAACAAATTAAACCATTTAAAGGCCAAAACGAAGCTCTAACTGGTGCTAGAGATTATTCTGGTCTAATTTGGAGCCTTGTAAGCCACTAAATCCGATCAAAAGCTGATCAAAGAAGTAGGAAGAGATTGGCTAAAACTTTTCGACCGCTAATCTCCTCCTTCGGGCAACTGTGGTTGTCACAACGGGAACCATAAGCATTTAGGTTGTAAATTTATCTTAATATGTGTATTTTTATTTGGTTATGATGTCGGACCAACGAGTATCCTATTTATTAAGGACGGATGATGGTGTCGACAAATTTTGTCCAACTCTAAAAAATGCAAATAATAATAATAAAAAAAAGAAGAACAAAAGAAAAAAAAATGCTAAGTTAATTTAACAAGTCTCCTTTCTAATAAGAAGGGACCTACGTGGTTAATTGAATCAAATTAATCACCCTTAGTAATTAGGTCGTTCTCCGACATACGAATTGTAATAACCAAAAAAAAAAAAAAGCACTTCCATTTTTTTTTATTATATTATTTTTATTAAAAAAAATAAAAAAATACAAAACAAAAAATAAATTAAAAAAAAAAGAAACAGATTGAAGTCTATCCCAATTTTTAAATTCAGTTTAGCTTGATTGGATCACCTTTAAATAACAGAGTTTGAGTTCAAATTGAATAGCTAAAAAATCTGAATTTTAAGGTATTTGATTTAGGATGAAACTAAAATTTGAAATTGTTTGATTGAAGGTGAAACTCAAATTCTCAATGTCTATAAAAAGGCAGTATCCTGAAAAAAAAAAAAAAAAAAAAAAAAAAGGGAGGAGAATTTTTTTTTTTTTTTTTGAGCTTTGGGGGCAGTGGCATTCTTCTGCATTCTGTTTTCTGGCAGTGTTCTTTAGGCTTTTAATTCTAGACAAATTATTCTTCACCTAAAGGGAATTCAGGGTAGAGAAAAGGAGGATTTTGGGTAGATAAGAGAGAGTAAAAAGGGTCAAAAATCGAGTGATTTTAGGGAAAATATTGGCTGCATTTTTTGGGTTTTTTTGGGAAAGTGTTCTTCGTGTTCTTCATTTCTGGGTTTTAGTTCGTCCATAATTTGCTTTGTTACTCAATTATTTTTGGTGTTTCCGGGTTCGTTTACAATCATCCCAACACTACTAATTCACTTTGCCAATTTGGGGGGTCTAATTTGGCTTTTTTTTATTTTTCATTAAAGTTTTTCTAGGCAGGGGCGTGTTTTTCTGGGTTTTGTTCTTCATTTTTCTGGGTTTATTCTTCCCTCTCTTAGGTTTTGTTTCATTTATTTCATCAAAGTATCCTCTGCTTGCTTAGTTTTCCATCATCAACAAATTACCGAGCGAGCTATATCCACTTAATCCAACTTGAAGCAATCATCCTAACCTACCAAACCAACATATATAGCAGCAGCAAGGTCCAAAAAGAACTATCTTCCATTCCTCCGTTTTTGCTTAGAAAAATTCAAACATCACAGTGCCAGGTATTTTTTTTGTTTCTTTGAATTCGATAAAGACCCACTCTATCTAACTCATTTCATTCAAGTTCTTGCATTGTCAATTTTCATTGTAAATCTAAAAAAAAAAAAGACGACAGTGACAGGATTAAGGTTTGGCTAGATTTGTTTGGTTCTGGCAGAAGAAATCTGGTTAAAAAAAAAAAAAAAAGAGAAACAATAAGGAAACTAGGAGGTAGCTAAATTTGGCCTCCAGAAAGAATAGAATACGTTGGAATCATAAGAACAGGAAATAGAGAGAGAACAAGAAGGCCAATTAGAACAGGAAAAAGAGTGTGTCCAAAGGCTTAAAATTCCCGTTTCTGATCTAAAAAACATGAGAAATAAAGGGAGAAGTTGTTTTGGGTTTGGGGGGCCAGCCGTGGGTTTCGTTTTAAAGGAATCATGTGAGTTGGGCTTAACCCAACCCATGCAAATCATATCCAACCCAGCCCAAGCTTGGCCATGAGAATGGGGAGGAAAGAGGCCAGTGGGTTTCTGTCCAGCCCTTTCCCCCTCCTCTTAAATTCTGGAGTTCGTTCAGCCTTCACAAGAAAGAAATAAAAAAAATAATCAGCAGTGAAATAAAGAAATGGAATGAGGAACTGGTATAAAAAAAAAAAAAAGGAATTGGGAAAGTAAAGGGTGTAAGAGATAAGTTATAAGATAGTGGGTCTAGGGTCCAAGTTAATTTATTTTAACATTTTTTTTATATAGAGCTTGATTATTATTTATTTTTTTCTTATTATTATTTTTTTCTTTTTCGTTTTTTGCAGTACTTTAAACTCGGTATTTTAATTTTTAGGTGAACTTATTTTTGTGTATTGTTAGATTAAAAAAAAATATATATCTAAAATTTTTAACGAAGTCTTCTACTTAATAGTGATCGATGTTTGATAAAACAAATACATATAAAATTAATTCTTAACGAAGTCTCCTATCTATAGGGACTAATGTCACAAAAAAAAAAAAACATCGTTTAATTAGGATGTTCTTCAACACACCGGTTGTGTCAAGGCTTAATGTGGATCCGATGTTTGAATCGACGTGTCGCCCGATTAAGGAGATCGACGATCGTTTCAATATGACTCCTATTTACGAGTCTTAAAAATTAGAAAATAATTTTGCATAAATAAAACATTTTAAGAGATGAATTTAGGACTAAACTAGACGTGGTACCTTTCTTAGGAAAGGGCGTCTTTGGATGATTGACATTTTCCCAAAGCGTAGCCAACTCTTTACCATAGAATCTCTAAACCGAGTGTTGCTTTTAGGTTCCTAGTTCCTTAATATTAGGTGGCGACTCCGAACTTGTAAATAAATATGTAAATAAAATTAGACTATGTAAATAGGAATTTAATTTTTGGAGTCCCGTCCGACGTTGGTTAACGACACCAATTATGTAAAGACTTAAGTTAGATCCGATATTAAATTGACGAGACTCTCAACAATCGGTTCAATATGATCTCATAAACAAAAATAAAAAAATAATTTGGCAAAAAATAAAAATTTTTAGGAGATAAATTTTTAGAATTGAAATAGACACGATACCTTTCATTGAAAAGGGTGTTTTTGAGTGATTGATATCTTTCTAAGAGTATAACCAACTTCTTATCTTAGAATCTCTAAATCATTGTGATTTTTAGGTTTTCTAGTTTTTTTAATGCTAGGTGACGACTCCAAAATGTGGTTTAACTCACATCCCTAGTAGATAAACAAATTTTAATTAGAATTTTTAGAGGGTTTTACCCATATGGAGACTCGTATAATTTGGATTTTTTTATTAAGATCCTTAATTTTTCTCTATCTAATTTAAGTGTTATATTCTTAATTTTTTATTATTTCGGACTCTAATATGTCACGTAAGCACATGTGGTAAGGTATACTCAATGATGGATTGACACATGGCATAGTAGGCTCAAATTGATTTTTAACGAAAATGAATAAACTTCTAATGGATTTTTAATTATTTAAGTAATAATAAACCTAAAAATAGGTTATGAAAATATCAATCTATCATTACCCTTTAAACCTAAAAATTCCCCCTTTCTCCCTCTTATATTTCAGTTTTTCTCTCCTCGTTTCTTCTCTCTTTCTTACCTCCGATTTCAATCAACCCCAATTTCTTCTTCTCCTTTCCTAAAAAACTTGTTCCAGTAGCAATAATAGCCTGTCTATACTTCTTATCCTAAACATCACTAGCAGCAAAAACCCCCCATGAACATTAGTCTTCGTAGTCCTCAGTTTAGTCACAACGTACCCATTAGAATCCAACTCCAACTGCCCATCAAAAACCTTGTAGCAGGCTCATGTCCAATAGTCAAAAACAACCCCAGTAGCCTTTAAATCCGAAACCTCCTTAGTAGCCACATTCTTCACTTTAAGCCCATCTAAAACCCTTTCTCCATAAGCCTCCTCCACTATAGAATTCCAAATAACCTCAATATTTGGATTTGACAATGCATTACTTAGCATTATCTTAAATGCCCTAAATGTATTCATCCTATGAATAATATAAACTTTCGACCCACACTTAGTCAAAAAATTGGCTTCCTCTATTGCTGAATCCCCTCCTCCAATCATAGTCAATACCTTCTCCCTAAAAATAGGAGCATCCCCGTCACATACAACGTAAGCCGAAATCCCTCTATTCCAAAACTTTTTTGACCCTTCAAAATTCAGCTTCTTCGCCACCACCTTAGTAGCCACAATAAATGAATCAGCAACAACACGTTTAGAATCAGTGAAAATCTCAAATGGGGTTCTTGAAAAATTCACTTTTGAAACCGTTTCAATAAAGATTTGGGTCCCAAAATGAGCAGATAAACTTGTTAGTCAACTCACCACCCATTATTCCTTCAAGGAAACTAGGGAAATTTTCCACATCAATTGTGGTCATAAGCTGGCCTCTGGGGGTGATATCATTTGCCATCCACCCTTCAAACAAGAAGGGCATTAGCTCTGCTCTAGCGGCATAGATTGCTACAGTGTGTGCTGTGGGTTCACTTTCGATTCTGCAGACATGGGTCTTGAGTTCTTCCATGGCTGTTGATGATGCTATGGTTAATTTGGGAGTGGTTGTAGTGGAGAAGGAAGCATCGACGATTGATGTGGTGGCTAAGCCAAGGAAACCACGAGCTTTGAAGAGGAGAGATTTTAGTCTTTTTGCGAAATTAGGAAAGGAGAAGAAGAAATTGGCTTATTGCAATTGGAGGTAGAGGAAAAAGAGAAGCAACGAGCAGAAAAACTGAAACGAATAGGGAGAGAGGGTGGAATTTGGGGAATTTTTGGGTTTAGTGGGTAAGGGTGGATTAATATTTTCATAACCTATTTTTAGGTTTGTTATTACTTAAATAATTAAAAATCCATCAGAATCTTTTTTAATTTTCATTAAAAATCAAATTGAGCCTGCTTTGCCATGTGTCAATTTGTCATTTGGTAGATCTTGTCACGTTTGTCTACATCATACATTAGGGTATGAAATAACAAAAAATCAAGAGTAGACCACTTAAATTGGACGAAAAAAATTTATGATCTAAATAAAAAAATCCAAATTATACGAGATCTCGATATACATAAAACCTAATTTTTAAAAGTCCCTTAAATGTTGAGTAGCCATATAGTCCTTGCTGCTTTATTTTTTAGCTGTTAACCTCTGGCCTAAATCTCTTAAATCGTCCTCTTATATTAGCCTTTGAGCCCTACTGGAGATCTTATTGAAATAAGAAAGGCATTGACTGAATAAGCATCGTAAATCTGGTGCTGAAAACCTCAAAATTCTGACCCAGAAAATAGCAGAATTAGTTCAAATCATAAACAGTAACGTTTGAGCCCAGGATATTAGCTTTCCACTGCTTTTTGAATCTCCTCAACTGGATGTCTCTGGCTCAAGTTACGACTGAAAAATCGAACACTAACCAAGCTGTCAGGAAGTGAGAATCCTAATCCCAAAAAGTCCGAGTTGGAAATTAAATTGGCACACTAATTCCTCTAGAATAAGGCTCCAAAATATCTCTTTTTTATCTTCAAATGCTTATTTTTGCTCTCTTTAGGTCGTTCCTTAAAAATAACTCAAACTATATGTAAAATTAATATATATAGCGCCAAATTTAGGAGTAACATTACAGGAGAAATGTATACAAATTAAATTGTAATCTATCAGTAGCCTTGACGCTAGTTTAGATATTGTTTTAGCAAGAACCGAAGAAATATTCGTATAAAGCTTACATTGTTTATCCGAATTAGATAAAGAATTGCATAACCTAGTTCCTTTAAACTACACACCCTCGTGTATTCATCATGAATTAGATTAAAAAATATATAAGAAAATTGAAAGTTTAAAGACCAAAGTGTAAAAGGACATGACAAATGATAAATATAATATATGTAAACTCTAAATATAAAAGGACACGACAGATGGTAAATATAACATTGATGAGCTTCAAGTCATTTGAAGTTAAGTTTTTAAATTTTTTTATTTGTTTTGGGATCCATAAACTTTTAAATTTTTAAAATTTAGTTAATATAGTAATTTTCAACTATCATCTTTCCCTCTAAAAAATTCAATTCTTTACATTTTGGGCTGAAATTTTGCACAAACGTTAAAATATATATATATTTTTTGTAAAACAATTTTAGAATTTTTACAAATCAAAAACTATATATATATATATATTGAACATTAAAAATAAAAAATAGTTTTGAAATGATTTTAAATTTTTTAAAAAGCTCCATGTAAATCTCACTAATTGATTTCTATCATGAAAATATTTATGTGATTGATTAAAAGTTCAAATACCAAAAAGGAAAAAGGACATGATAGGTGGCAAATATGATACTACCTTACTATGGCATCCGATCATCCCTCGTGTTAAATGGTTGAAGATATTTTGTTACAACAAAGATTTGTGTGGCGAAAATCAGAGTGTACGAGGATTACTTATTGAAAGATGCTTGCCATGCATCAAAGCTTGGACTGTTTGGTAAGCTTGTGGGAAGCAAAAGATGTAGAACAATTCAAATATGAAACCAATTACATATATATATATTTTTACCCCAAGGTATTTCAAGTTCAAAAAGTCAAAATAATCTATCGAAGTCCTATAAGTTGAAAAGGCCGGTACAGTTAACCAAGATGTTTTTTTCCCGTACATGAGGACTTCGGCTTGAACAATATCATGAACTTTGGGGGTTTTAATTTGTAAACTCATATTGACTTCTGCTTCCTGGAGCAACAAAATTTTCAACAACGCCTTCGAAAATTTCTAAAACTATTTGCCTTACAATAACTTTTTAAACAATTTACTTCCTTTCAAATTAGTTTTTTTTCCCCTCAAATGTATGTTATTACGCAGTCTAATTAGGAACCAGAGATGATCAATTGGAAGTGAGTATGGATCATGATTGGAATCCAAAAATATTTAAACTAAAAAAAAAAAACTTGATTTATTCCATACCAATAACTTTTTTCCCCCTCAAATGATATATTCATTATCAATTGGATTCTAAATCTTTAAATTTTATCACTTATCCCAAAAATTTCTAATATTTTTTAATTGGATTATTTTATCATTTTATTTTAATAGTTTAAGTAGAATTTGCATATTTTATCTACTAAAATGATACTGGATATTTGAAGAAAATTTGACTGGAGAAGTTATTGCACACTAATATTTATTTGTCAAATGTTCATATTTATGCACTAAAAGACCATCAACTTAAAACATATTTGGTGAAAATACTGATGACCATGAATAAGATTTTTAAACCTTGTATTAGAAGACATTTGTAGTAGGAACGTCATTGGGAATATAATTGAATGAGAAAATAAAAACAGTTAAAATTACTAACGACTAAAAGGGCGAAGATATTTTTGATCATTGAGGTGTTAATTAATCTAATTTATGTGGAGGAAATTAATTAGATTTATGTTCATTGATTCCTTTATTGAATGTTAGGTTACATGCATCGAAGCCTGGACGGCCATACACATATTGTCTATATAAATGCAATGCTCCTTGCTATCATCAGAATCAAATCCAGAGAAGTTGAAAAAATTAATATTATATATTGAAACCAGACTCTCTTTTCTCCATGGCATCTACTAACACAGTGAAAATACTGGAGGTCTTTGAGGTAGCTCCACCCTCGGACTCAACCCAGGAATTCTTTCTTCCTTTCACCTTTTTCGATATAGCATGGCTAAAATTCCCAGCAACTGAGGACCTCTACTTTTTCAAACTAGCTGAAACTGAATCAACTTCAACATATTTTCACTCAAAAATTGTCCCTACCCTCAAACATGCACTCTCACAAACTCTCCTCCTTTTTCTCCCTCTAGCCGGCCACCTAACTTGGCCCTCCGATCAATCCTCCGAACCCATCTTTGTTTTCACCCCAAATGATGCTGTATCTCTCACAGTTGCTGAATCCAGCGGTGATCATGATGACTTTGATTTGTTCACAGGCAATGGAGTTCGTGAAGCTGGTAAATCACATCCTTACCTACCCAATTTGCAAGTATCTGATGCAAAAGCAGCATTACTCGCTTTACAAATCACATTGTTTCCTAATAAAGGCTTTTCTATTGGCAAGGCTTCACATCACACAATCCTTGATGGAAATGGTGCATCCATGTTTCTCAAAGCATGGGCACATGTGTGCAAACACTGCTGCCAGAAAGGAAAAATCCCTTATTTACTGCCGCCCGAACTAACACCTTGTTTTGAAAGGACAAAAATCAAAGACCCTTTTGTTTTTGACTCTGCCTATTTCAACCAGCTGTGGCCAGCCACGACCTCTCCAAATTCTGGCTTACCAACAAGAAGCTTGAAACCATTGCTAAGTCCATTGCCACCCAACCTATATAGAGCAACTTTTCAGTTGACTCGTGAGGACATTAAGAAACTTAGAGAAATGGTACTGTGTTATCACCAGTTAGCAGCAGGACCAAATCCCGTAAAACAACTTCATCTCTCCACGTTTGTTATTACTTATGCTCATGTCTTTGTTTGCATGGTTAAAGCAATAGGTGGAGATTGTAAGAGAGAGACTTACATGTCGTTTGTAGTGGATTGTAGTAACCGTTTAGACCCTCCATTGCCACCAAATTATTTTGGCAATTGTCTTGTTGGACAATACTTGGTTACAGAAGCAGGAGTTTGCATGGAAGAGAATGGAGTTGCTATAATTTCGGAAAAACTTGGTGATTTGATAAAAGGGCCAGAGAAGGATCTTTTTGAAGGAGAAAAAGAGAGAACTGTACTGTTGCGTGGTCTCGGACCAGAAGTGCTACATATTTCGGTAGCTGGATCGACAAGGATGGATCTTTACAAGCTGGATTTTGGGTGGGGAAGAGTTGAGAAAGTGGAGATTACATCTATTGACCGGACAAAAGCTATTTCAATGATGGAAAGTAGAGATGAAAATGGAGGAATCGAGATTGGTGTGGTCTTATCTAAGCAAGAAATGGAGCACTTTGCTTCGTACTTCTGTAATGGCCTAAATCGCGAGCAGCCCAAACCATGATCAATTGTTTACGATTTTCTTTCCTTTCTATGAACTTAATATATGATCTGCTATCTCCTTATATTATTTTCTTGAATTGTGCGCATGGAAGTCTGAGTTGTTTTCCATTCTTTGGGTTTGTCTGCTTGCTAGCTCCCAACTTTATGATATTGTTGTGCCCACTGCCTTCTTGGCAATATCAGTGCAGAATACTTGCTGTTGTGGTATGCATTTGTTGTTTTGAAAAATTGTCTTGCTTAAGTGGGATAGTGATATTTTGTGTCAGCTTGCGCAGGATCTGGAGTTCTCAAGATCAGAAATTGGTTTCCTGAAATGTTTTTTTTTATCTTTCTTTTTTTAATGAAATCTATGATGATTATATTAAAGTTAGCATGAAGCTCGCAAAAGAGATTATAACCACCCAAAAAATTCATCAAATATATGCAGATTAGACTTAATTAAAAAAGAGAGAAGCTTTTTTAGTGCTCAACTTTTGATTTTTTTTTTTCCTGTTTTGGTATCCAACAGTTAATTAAA